ACCCCCCCCCCCCCCCAAAAAAAACACTTGATTGTCTCATGTTTCTTGATTTGACCTTTAAAGACCAAAAGAGACATCCATGTCTCTTGAAATGATTTTGTGATTGGCCAAATGGGACTGTATTGTCCTGCTATATCATAATGTTATTAAAAGCTTTATATACTCTTAACGTCAGACACATTTATGCATAAAATGCATCTGTGGGCTGTATAGTTTGTCAGGAAAAATTTGTAATTAAATTATCCACATTTTGCGTGTGTTTGCTTACCAACATCTTCCTGAAAGTTGCAAAAATATCATAGTATTCATAGTTCTCTCCAAGTAGCCACCCTTTGTTGTCCTTCAAAACATCAAAGTCAGACACATGTCTACAAATGCTTGAAGAGAAACATCAGCTTATCTCATCATCCATTTATTGAATTCACCAGATTTTTTCATCAATTCAAAAATTATCTGTAAAATAATGGTGTTATGCTTCTTTGAGCATGTTTTTACCAGTTTCTTCTTAGCCTTATATAAACTGCAGTGGAAACCAGTAGGTATGAAATGAGGATTAGCACTAAGTTTCAGTGTTAAAATGTTAATTTTTAAATATTAGTATATTAAGTTCAAGGACATGTTTAATTTTATTACAGTGCTTGAATAAAATGTACCTCATTATAAACAAGGAGAAATTATGTTGTGGATTCGTGAACTCAATTGCATTAGTCATCTGCAAAATTCCGTTCTGGTATTGTGGCTTGTAGTTATTTTTATTTGAAGGCCCTCATGTGTTTCTTCAGGTGCATGCCAGTGTTTGCCCGGTTGGAATGGGAAGAACTGTTCCATCGCATGCCCTGTTGGAACGTACGGCATGAACTGCAGTCAGCACTGCAAGTGCCTGAACGGTGGCAAGTGCCGTCGTAATGATGGTCTCTGCCGCTGTCCACCAGGATGGATTGGCGCCCAGTGCACTGAAAGTGAGTTTATGCATTTGCATTTTTCTCTGCTGTTTCTTTTTCTTGCCTTTATAGCTTTGTTGTTGTGTTGATTCCATCTAACTATAGTGTATGACATCATAAAAGGAACGCTTAACACTGCTGTTGGATACTAACGTAATTCACTTCACTTACATACACGTCCTTAATTTTCCTCTGTGTCCACGTACTGTGCCATGAGGGTGTAAAGGTGGTTTGGAGGGAAAGCGTCACTCATTTTTTGCTTTTAGTCATTTAGCTGATGAAGAAATGTGCTGCTCTTTCTGGAACTCAAAGCTGAATACTTATATTCAGAATAACCCAACATTATACCTGATCTTGAGTCAGTCCATGTCCTCATGACCCATTTTTTTTAACCCTTTATGGATGGGCAGCTTAGTGTTTGTCCGCAATTGTAAAGGGGGGTTCACACGGAGTCGTGGACCAGGCGAGAACACTACTCTATTTGAGTGAGTCACACGACCTGCTTAATAACGCCCGTCTCCAGTTCCCACTTGACTTCGCAAATGCTTCTTCTCGCCTTCAGAGTCATGGTGTTTGAAAATGGCACACGACTGACTTGGTCGTGATCACTCCAACATGCCGGAGTGGTTACGACCGCTGTCTTCAAGGTCGTATACTACCAACTGTGCAACGACCACTAGTTCCCACTCGGTAGTGAGCACGACCTCCGGTCCTCTTGGTCGTGTTCTCGCCTGGTCTACGACTCCGTGTGAACCCCCCCTAAGACTTTATTAAAATGAGAGGATACATTTCTAGTCACAAATGCTTTTGATAATTTGTTATCCATTTGATTTGATTTAAGTGGGCCTTGAATTTGGCACACACAAGCTGCATCTACTTTATGTGTTTGTTACTATGTTACATGTAAAGCCTGTAGATTTAAATTGATGATGCAAAATTGATGTTCGCTGCATTTTAAAAATGGTAATTTGCGGTTCACACAGCAACAAACATGAAGATGTTCCACCATGTAGTCTGGTAGACTGATGTAGACAGTAAGATCCTGTGGAATGTTAGTCAGTATCTACCAGGCTACAGAGACCTGAAGGTTATTTGCCTCGTTCTCAGTTACATTTTCCAGCCGAGTTTGCTGTCCTAAGCCATTTCTTAAAGAAGGAAATGTGACTTGTTGTTGTATTTACAGTCTGTCCTGAGGGTTACTATGGAGACCACTGCATGATGCCATGTGAATGTCCCAATGAGAACTTCTTGTGTCATGCAAAGGATGGTTGTGTGTGTCGACAGGGATATACAGGTACATTTCATGTTGTAATAACCTTGAAGAATGAAGTCAGTACTGTAATTGGTACAGTTGAGGAAGTGTCATTGAATAAATGAAGAAACAAAGCACCTGCCTTTCTTATGCTGATAAATCCTTGATGGTAGGTTGTTGAGTTAATGACGTGCGTTCTGATTGAGACAAGTTACGAACAGTATCTGGTCCGACACTGGCAAAGCAAGTTCACTCCTCTTACTTTCCCAACAACTGCCACATTGTGCAGAGCTGAAGATTTCCTGTTTTACGAAAATCAGACTCGGACCGGGGTATTATGAGACGTATTTATCGCTGCGGTTCTCATTTCTAGGTGACCGCTGTGACACACTACAGTTCTCCAAGAATGTGCAGGAGAAGGAGGCACAGAACTATGGAAGTATGGTTGCTGGTGTTGTTGTAGCCCTGATCCTTGTGGCCGTAATAGTGGCTCTACTGTTTTACTATAAACGTCGTGTCGCCAATCTTAAAACGGAGATTGCTCATGTGCAGTACATTGCCGATCCTCAAGTAGCTCCAGGTAATGTTGCACATACTGTCCCAAAAGCTGGTGTTCCTGTATAAAGTATTTTCCAAGCGATGAGTGGAACTTGCAGCTGATGATATTAAAGGTTAAATAGACATTTAGATTACAGTCATCATCATCATCATATGCCACTGGATTAGGATGAAGGAAGATAGATTTCAGTAAACATCTGCCAAGTGAGGGCAACTTCTGCATTTACAAGAAAATGTTGAAACAACTTTAATGTCTCCCCCAATCTCAAAACTCAGCATTGAGAACAGTTGTTTTACACCATTTCCTGAATTTTAATTTAATATCCTACATTTATTTGTAATACTTAAGTTAGTTTGAGCAATAATGGGCTAAGTCTCAGTTTCTCATTTTGCCTCATCAAATCTTATCTACTTGCAAAGAAACAATTTGGGGGAACATGTTCTCTACAAATAATTTAGACATAAAGTTTCTCATTGAAGCACCCATATTTTTTTAATTATTACTCATAATTTTACTTATTTTCATTTGAATATGCATGCATTTTGATTTATACGAATTTTCTAAACTGCATGTAAAAAGTCTTTACATGCCAAACTGGGCTACTATTTTCAGTTTCTGCCAGTGTCTTCCAGTGAACGTGCTATGAACTGTTACACATATTTACATCATTTACACTTGTGCTATTTTATTGCCCTTGAGGTGTGATAAATTTTGAAATGGGGTGCTGGGCAAAGAAAAACTGGAGACTTTTGTGTATTGAATGCTGGTCTTCTGGAACACAACCTTCAGAACGCTTTCTTGCAGGTGGTCAAATGCAGGTTTCACCTTATCAATTATGTCTTACAATAAAATGTAAGTTAGGTATGATCGTAGATTCACAAAG